GCTAAGGGCCGGCAAGGCGCGTAGGGGACCAGCGGGCGCGAGAGGGGTCGTCGGGGCGCTAGGGGCCGTCGGGGCGCTAGGGGAACAATGGGGTGGTAGGCTAGGGCTAGGGCGGAAGTGGGTGGGCGGACCTAACCTACTATGATACCATGTTAGAATAGCAGAATGACTAGAACAAGGTAGTACAGGGGAGGATATACGCTGGCAGGAAAATTTGTCCGGATGTTTAGCATGTTTTTGCATTTTGATGAGCTGTACGCTGTAAACATTAAGCCTTAATCCATGGTGGCCATACACGTAGAGAAGAGCAATAAGTGCACTCACTCAAGTCTCCTAATACAAGAGTAGTATAGTACATGGTCCTTCAACACGAAAGCATTTAGTAACAGCACATCCGGACAATTTGTACCGAGGACAGGCAACAAACCAGAAACTAGCAAAACTAGTACCTAGTCCAGCGTCCCTTTTCACGAATCACCGCCTTGATCCTCCTTGGCATACAGTCGATGAGGTTTGAGCACACTTCCACCAGAATCTTGTCCCATTCCTCCTGCACCCTCTCCCACAACTCCAACATTCCAGTAGGAGGCTTTTCGTACTTCGTCAGCTCCCTTTTCAAGTGTGCCCACAGGTGCTCTATTGGGTTAAGGTCCGGGGAGGACGAGGGCCATTCCAGCACTGCATACTCCTGCTCCCCAAGCCAGTCTTGCACCAGACGTGACTTGTGCTTGGGATCGTTGTCGTGCTGGAGTATGACCTCTGAGGGGGGGAGCTTGTAAAAGTTGATGGTTTGAGCCAGTTCGTCTTGCAAGATGCTGCGATACAGCGGCCCATCCATCCTTCCATCGATCTTGTACATGAACCCCGCCCCCTCATACGTCATGCAACCCCACACCATCACAGAGCCGACCCTCTTCCTCACCAGATCTCAACCCGGATATTTTTCCCCACCAGTCACGACTACTTCAACTGCTGCACCACTCAGAGACCTACGGATCCTAGCATGATTCTAATAGTGCAAGGATGCACTGTCAACCGTGCTATGTTACCCTAAGTTTCGTGGCAGATACGCAATTTTTCGCCACTCTGCTCATAATTTTTACCTACAACGGTACGATGAAGATGATCCATGATAAGACGAGACCAATCGAGTAATGGCATCTTTGGCCACACCTCAGCATGGCTAGTCTTAGAGATAACATTCAACATGAAATCGTGCACAGTACTCTTGCATACGTTCAAATACTTCGCGATTTTCCTTGTGCTCACCCCCTTATGCAAAAGCGTGGGTCCAGGAAGAGTACGGGAAGATCCCTGTAAAGGTTTGCACTAACCTCGTAGATAACATGCCTAGGAGGGTGTAGGTGGTGATCAAGGCCAAGTGTCGGTTGACTAGGTACTAGTTTTGCTAGTAACTAGTTTGCTGCCTGTCCTCGGTACAAATTGTCCGGATGTGCTGTTATTAAATGTTGTCGTCTTGAAGGACCATGAAATATACTACTCTGGTTTTATGAGATTTGAGTGAGTGCTCTAACTGCTGCTCTCTACGTGTATGGCCACCATGAATTAAGGCTTAATGTTTATAGCATACAGCTCGTCAAAATGTAAAAATATGCTAAACATGTGGACAATTGTTTCCGCCACTGTATAACATATGTATAAGTTGACACTACAGACCATCTCTCTGCGTAGGGGGTTATGGGCGCATATACCCGCTACTTAAAAAGCCCCATTAGCTCAGTGGTCAGTGACTGCGTTATGACATGGTATCAGAGCCGGGAGATTCGGCTTCAATTCCCAGTGGAAATGTTGCTGAGGCGCTTGTGTCTTCCACCTATCCCAGCAAGGGGGGGTGTCAAGAGACATGCTGGGGCTGCCCTTGATCCTCGGGGAAGGGCTACAAGCCATCTCTATGCTTCGGGGGTTATGGGCGCACATACTTGCTACTTAAAATGCCCTTTGAGCTCAGTGGTTAGTGAGTGAGTTTCTAACAGTATGTATGTGTCGAGTCAACCACTGGGGTTGCCCTAGAGATCCTCGGGGAAGGGCTACAGAAATCTATGCCTGGGGGGCTATGGGTGCGCTATCCAGCTATCTAACAAACCCTTTTAGCACTGTGGTTGTACCCTTTACAGTAAGGGGGGTTGTACCCTCTACAGTAGGATCCAGTAACACCTACCAAGCCTACAATTATTTATATATAATATATAATTTCACACACCCCCTAGGCTTGGTAGCCGAAAGCACACCACACACACAGCACACTAAGCCACACACCCCCTAAGCCTAGCACCCCCATACTCAGCAGCAGCGGCGGCTACTCCAGCATGGTCAACCCCTCGGCGTGTTAGGCGGCGACGTCGACGGCGAGGGCAGCGGCTGCAACGGCGGTGATGGCGGCAGCGTCGACAGCGGCGGCGGCGGCGTGCGGCGGCGTGGCCAGCGGCACCAGCTGCGGCGGCTTAGACGACAGCTGTGGCGGCGGCGGAGCTCGCATCACTCGGCGGCGTGGCTGGGCCCCGCGATGATAGGACGGCCATCGCGAGTCAGCCGTCGGCTGCGGCGAGGAAGAGGGGACGCAGGGGAAGGGGGCGGGCCTTCAGCAGCGGAGCCCGGGAGGGTGCCGCCCCGTATGGCGCGCTGGCTGCATGCGGGCGTGCTGGCCAGCGCTAAGACCGGGCGCTGGCCGCTGCCGAGCGTGCCGTCCGCGCGCTGGCACATAGACGCCGCCATGGCAGCCCGACGGCGCCGTTACGGCAGCACGACATGGTCGTGACGGTGGTGCGGAAAGGACGGGAGGGAGGAGCGGACTTCGCGGAAGCGTGATGAGCAAGCCCGAGCAGACGGACCTGCTCTGAAACCATGTTAAGATAGCTACCCTGCGAAAGACAAGTTGAGGACCTTGATTTTGAGAGCCAAGGCACGCATTTCCCCTCAGATGTCACTTCAAAGTACATGCAAAATAAAATGTGCAGGAGAAATACTGAGTGCAAAATACCAAAAACCACGACACAGAGAGAGATGCGCGGCGACAGGTGCGGAGAGCGGGAGAGATACGATGAGCGGGAGAAGTGTTCAGAGCGGGAGCGCGAGAAGGAAAGCCCTTGCGAAATCGAAGGAGAGGGGCGGAGAGAGAGGAAGTGGGCGGAAAGAGAGGGAGAGGCGCGGAGATAGAGTTTGAGGCGCGGAGAGAGAGCAGAGGCGCGGAAATAGATGGCGAGGTGCGGAAAAAGGAGAGGTGCGGAAATAGGAGAGGTGCGGAAATAGGAGAGGTGCGGAAATAGGAGAGGTGCGGAAAAAGGAGAGGTGCGGAAATTGGAGAGGTGCGGAAATAGGAGAGGTGCGGAAATAGGAGAGGTGCGGAAATAGGAGAGGTGCGGAAATAGGAGAGGTGCGGAAATAGGAGAGGCGCGGAAATAGAAGGAGAGGTGATGGGAGAGACGGAGAGGCGGGGAGAGAGAGGGAGAGGCGCGGATAGAGAGGGAGAGGCGCGGAGAGATTGGAAGGAGTGGGACTGTCGCCATCACCCTGCGCCACATCCTCTTTCGCAGCGAAACTCTCATCCGCTCTCCTTCTCGCCGCGCCATATCATTCTTGTCGCACCGCACTACACTCTTCCACGGCGCTACACACTCTATCCAGCCACGCTTCTCTCGCTCTCTCTCTCTCTCCCACCGCGCCACTCTCTCTCTCTATCCCATCGCGCTACTCTCTCTCTCTCTCTCTCTCTCTCTCTCTCTCTCTCTCTCTCTCTCTCTCTCTCTCTCTCTCTCTCTCTCTCTCTCTCTCCCGCTGCGCTACTCTCTCTCTCTCTCTCTCTCTCTCTCTCTCTCTCTCTCTCTCTCTCTCTCTCTCTCTCTCTCTCTCTCTCTCTCTCTCTCTCTCCTGCGCTACACTCTCTCCCCCACCGCGCTACACTCTCCCTATCTCTCTCCCGCGCTACACTCTCTCTCCAGCCGCGCTGCTCTCTCTCTCTCTCTCTCCCGTAGCGCTACTCTCTCTCTCTTTTCTGCGCTACTCTCTCTCTCTCCCGCCGCGCTACTCTGACTCTCCCGCCGCGCTACTCTCTGTCTCCCCCCGCGCAACTATCTCTCTTTCCCTCTCGCAGCGCCAATGTCTCCCTATCTCGCCGCGCCACATTTTCCACACCGTTCCTAGGCACTAAGCTGGGAAAAACAGGGGGTCAACGCGCGGAACTAGGTAACTAGGCGCCTGTTAATAGCTTGCAACTAGCCGGAAAATGAGCTTTGCAGCGGAAATGGAGAAGTGCTATTTGCAGCAATTATGAACACAGGCCCAACGTGAAAATCTAGTTGGGCCCAACTTGATCCAAAAGCCTCAACCCGTCGCATGCACACGCCATGCAACAGTCGCACAGGAAAACGCTAACCCTGACGAGGAAAATGCACCGTTGGCACATCGCGGGTTTCGTCTCGCAAGGATCATGTTGGCGGGATCCAATCAGCTTTGAGTTCACACTTCATTTTTCCTACCCGCGTAACTTTGGAACAGTGATTTGTCAGCGGAGGTTTCCAAGAGAAGTCACCAGAGGGAGCCCTCTTTCAAGTTGGGCCAGCCTTCTCTATTTTACCTTCTCGCTACTCTCTCTCTCTCTCTCTCTCTCTCTCTCTCTCTCTCTCTCTCTCTCTCTCCCTCCCTCTCTCTCTCTCTCTCTCTCTCTCTCTCGCTCTCTCTCTCTCTCTCTCTCTCTCTCTCTCTCTCTCTCTCTCTCTCTCTCTCTCTCTCTCTCTCTCTCCCTCTCTCTCTCCTGCGCTACACTCTCTCCCCCGCCGCGCTACACTCTCCCTATCTCTCTCCCGCGCTACGCTCTCTCTCCAGCCGCACTGCTTAGCCCTTTCAGCACAGTGGTTAGCGACTTAGCTTCTGACAGTATGTAGTGTCTGTATAAATATGGTATGGATCCCAAGCATACAAGAGGATGGAGAAAAGGAGCATATCTTTTGCTACGATAAGTTAACTAATCTAGACACATCCGTCTAAATACTGGCAATCTTAACGCTTCGCCATGAAGTGAGTTACACATGGCCTTTTCAACGCATGTAGGTACTAAAGTTGGAGACAAGACAACTCTGAAGAAATCCGCATTTTTCTAGGGTGCGAGCAATCCACAGCCCCGTTCCACCAACTGCTAACACTTCAAGTCCAGCAACTTGAACTATTCAGACCAGAGCCCAACACAGCCATGAACTGCTAGTGCTGCTGAGCGCTCTCAGCCCGCCTGGAGGCAATTCTTTGCTCAGCAGCCCAGGCAAACACCGATTTCACCGGGTCCCTGGCTGCTTGCTCCTGCTGCTGCCAGTCTTGATTCAACCTGCCTGTCGACGGCAATGCTTTCTCATAGCCGTCCCCCAAGAGCGCCTCTCCGCCAGGGACGACGGGGCACGAGGGGGTGCGCCTATGGCGAGGATAACGGCCCGTGCCACTGGAGGCGGTCAGCGGGGAGGAGAGTGGCGAGATCGCGGGGGGAGAGATGGCCGACGTCACAGCGTACGACGCACGGCTGCTTGCAGTTGCCGTTGCTTGTCCTACTTGTCCCACCTGCCTGTTGCTTCCTTGGACTGGCCGAGGGCTTCTAGGGGGAGGAGTACGATTCCGACTTTTACTAGCAACAGTATTATCTACCGGCGACCCTGCCGCTCCTGACGGCTGTGGGCCGTCTGGCCGTCTGTAGATGAAGGCGCCGCCTCTCCGCCAGATCAGCGCTGTCATCGCGTCTTTCCAGAGCGCCGCCGTGTCCTTCTCGCCGAGGGCGTGCGCGCTCCGCGACCGGCGGAGAGATCGGCGGAAGGCCTGCCGCCAGGCCTCTGCGAGGATGGCCTCGCCGGTAGCACTCCGCTGCGCGCGCCTGCTACCTGAGCGCTCGCCGGCAGAGCCGCCAAGCTCCCCCTCGTCCATCCCCCCCGCTCCCACTACTCCCCGGGCCGGTGATTGCAACGATGGCTCGCTCCGCGTTCGCTTGAGCCGCTGCTGCGCGCGGATGTGCGCGAGGGTGTTCCCGAACGTGGGCTCGCGCGCGCGATTCCACAAGTCCAGCCGCCGCTGGGACGACGCCATGGAAAGGCGGCTTCCGCCGGGGCCGCTGGGAGAGGCGGAGTAGGGAAAGGCGGCGAGGGTGTCGCCGCGCGGGCCGTCATTTGCGGCGGTAAGCGCGGTGAGGTGCTGCAGCTGCTGTAGAGATAGGCCGTAGCTGCTACGACCTGCTGGGGCATCTGACTCGGATAGTCGGCGCTCGGAATGCCGTGCCGGCGCCGAGTCTGATGGCCGACTCAGAATCGCCGGATCTGAAGTACTGGACTCGCCGCACGTGGCGCGTTCAGGTAGCGCGCCGCCGCGCGGGCTGGTGTTTGGCGCGAGGTGTGATTTCGCGGGGGAGGTAGGCTGCGAGAGCACGACGAATTGCTGAGCTGGAGTGACTGCGAGCTCCCTGAGCGAGCGAAAGGAGGCCGAGCTAGAGCGATTATGGCCGCGAGGACCTCTGGGAGAAGATCCCGTGGAAGCCATGATGCAGTTGTTGTTTACCTGGGGGAAGAAACTCCGAGTTTGGGGAGGCACTGGGAGGGAAGACTGGGGACTAGTACTCAGGGGGGTTGTGACTGCTAGTGCAGGGAGCAAGAGAAAGCAGGGGGTGGGATTTGAATTGGTAAGGCAGGCGAGCTCATTTGTATGTGAGTACAAATGAGAAGGGATTGTTGTGACTCGGTAGAGTTTTGCCCAGAGGGAGTGGAGAAACTGGAGAGGTTCAGAGTTGCGATACTCGCCACTCTGCTAGAACTCGGACTGCGAGCTCTGCGAAACCGCCCAATTTCCAGTAACCGCTACGCCCTGACTGCTAATTCTGGATGGCTGGCGTTGTCGAAGCTGTCACGCGGGGGAGATGGTTCCCAGGAGAGCCAGTCACATTGGATGAACAGAAAATGCGAATCGCGAAGTGCGGATTTGATAAACAAGCACCACGTCTCACTTCACTACACCGCCATTGCTACAGCGGGCATGTGTCGTGTACGGTAGGGCCAGTAGAATGGATGACGCAACACCGCAAAGGTAAATTTCAAGCTGCAAGCGCAAATGAAATCCAAGATGCAAGCGAAAATGAAATCCAAGATGTGAGCTGTTCAGCTGCCGCAATGTCAAGGGCGAAATCTGTACACGTCGGACCCTTATCAAACCAGGCCCTTCTCAGATTCGTGTTCCATCTCGTTTCGGAATTGGGCTGTACTATTCCGCGCGAGTCTGAATAGCGCCTGGTAAGAGTTGAAGAAACCCGTCATAGTCCATTCCAAACGAATCTTTTTACAAAGCAAAAAAAGGAGTCGACTAAATCGTCTTAGGGTGGCGGAGCTATCTTTGTTTTCTTTTTCTTTTTATTTTTTGCAATTTTAGGCATGTTATTTTGCATTTTACATCAAAATTATGACTATTACCATTTGATGCGATGCTATTTTACAATTGTGAATTAAGTGTTAGTATATTTCGTTTGTATACATTATTTTAATCGTGCATCTCAATTTTTTTTCTTGGATTGACACAGCCAACTCTAAATTGAGGGTTGTTAAAACGTTCTTTCAAGAAGCGAGCCCATATCGTCCGCACCGAACTAACATCTACTACCTATTGCGCTAAACTAGGTTACACAAGTCGGAAATTTGTAAAATACCAACTTTTTCGTGTTGCAACGAATCAAATGCTCCTAGGGTTCTGCGCTCATTTTTCGCTTCCTTATGCTCGCTTCTCACGTTGCGGTTTCAGCCACGCCACCTCGCCACCTAGATTCCTACCCAAGGCAAGTAGTTCTATGGGTTCATTTTTCTCTTTTCAAAATCGTTTTTCCATCTCTTCTAGTAAGGGGTTTCAATATCGGGATTGACGGAGGGGAATGGCGGCGGGATTGATGGGGGGAATGGTGACGGGATTGGCGACGGAATTGACGGGGGATTGGCGAGGGCGGCATTGACGGGGGGATTGACGGGGGGGGGAGGGGGGGGGGGGCAACGTGGTTGATTTGGGGATTGGCGGGGAGTCTCTCTCGCTCTCTCATTACCTCTTTCTCTTTACCACCCCCCCCCCCCCCCCCTCTCTCTCTCTCTCTCTCTCTCTCTCCCTCCCCCTCACACACACATATACACCCTACCTCTTTCTCTCTCTCTACCTCTCCCTCTCTCTCTCTCTCTCTCTCTCTCTCTCTCTCTCTCTCTCTCTCTCTCTCTCTCTCTCTCTCTCTCTCTCCCTCTCTCTCTCTCTCTCTCGTTCTCTCTCTCGTTCTCTCTCTCTCTCTTTCTCCTCTCTCTCTATCTCGTTCTCTTTCTCCCTCACACTACCTCTCTCCCTCTCTCTCTCTGCCCCCCCCCCCCCCTCTCTCTCTCTCTCTCTCTCTCTCTCTCTCTCTCTCTCTCTCTCTCTCTCTCTCTCTTTCACCCTACCTCACTCTCTCTACCTCTCTCTCTATATATATATATATATCTCTCTCTCTCTCTCACCCTCTCTCTCTCTCTCTCTCTCTCTCTCTCTCTCTCTCTCTCTCTCTCTTGCTCTCTCTCTCGTTCTCTCTCTCTTTCTGTTCTCTCTCTCTCTCTCTCTCTCTCTCTCTCTCTCTCTCTCTCTTGTTCTCTCTCTCTCTCTCTCTCTCACTCTCTTTTCCTCTCTCACACACTACTTCTATCTCTCTGCCCCTCTCTCTCTCCCTCTCTCTCTCCCTCTCTCTCTCTCTCTTTGCCCCTCTCTCCCTCTCTCTCTCTCTCTGCCCCCTCCTCTCTCTCTATCTCTCTCTCTCACCCTACCTCTTGTCTGTCTACCCTTTTCTCTCTCTCTCTCTCTCTCTCTCTCTCTCTCTCTCTCTCTCTCTCTCTCTCTCTCTCTCTCTCTCTCTCTCTCTTTCTCTCACACATACTCTTTATCTCTATCTCTCTTTCTCTCCTTCTCTCTCTCTCTCCCTCTCTCTTTCTTACCATTTTCTCTCTCTTTTCATTTGTTGAACCTCTATCTGATACGTCGTTCGTTTCTTCAATCCTCATTTCCATGTCCCGTGCGCTACCTTTAAACATGTGTTCATGTTCATTTTTTTAAACTTATTCTCGCATTCTCCCACTTCTCCTTTCACACATTAGCCCACTCACTTATTCTCTCGTTTATTTTTTCTCCCTTTCTCCTATTCACTCTCATTCTCGCATTTTATCATTCTCTCATTATCTGGTTTTCTGATTCACCCATTGTTCCATCCCTCCCTCATTCTTTCCTTCTCTAGTTTTTTCAATTCTCTCATTTTCTCAATGCTCCCATTGACCACTCTCCCATATGCTCATTCTCTGTTTTTTTTTTTTTTTTTTTTTTTTTTTTTTTTTTCATTGTCTCATTCTCCCGTAGATCATTCTATAATGCTCTTGATATCGCATTTCTGTATTTTCCTACTCTTTTCACACATGAGCCCACTCACTCATTTTCTAGTTTCTTTACGCTCTCATTCTCCCATTCACTTCTACATTCTCTCATTGTCTCATCCCTCATTGATTCATCCTCCCATTGTTCCCTCCCTTCCTCATTTTCTCATTCTCTACTTTTCCGATTCTCTCATTGTCTCATTCTCCTATTGACCACTCGCTCATTTTCTAATTCTCTCATTGTCTCAATTTTCCCATTGACCATTCTCTCATTTCCCGGTTTTCTCATCCCCTCCTAGCTGAGGAAGCGATAGCCTATTTTTGTCGTCGACAAAAATACGCGATAGGCAATTATGGAAAACATTTACAATTTTTGTTTTCCATAAAATTTTACCAATAATATAGTGTAATTAATACATTACACTATATTATAGATATATAAGAAAGTCCCATTCAGATAGTTTGGGAAGAGATAGCTTTTTTCTTTCCTTTTTTCTTAAAACACAAAACAAGAAATGATGGAAAACATTAATACATTTGTTTTCCATTATTGTCTATTTTGAAGTATAGCATTTTACGTAGTTCTAGTATGGCACTTTCATCCAACTACTTACATAGTCAAGCTAATGAATCCATGTAGTTAAAATGAATGATTCCTCCTATATTGGTCACTAATATCCATCTTTTTACTTCAAAATAATATTTTTTTTTCACAAATTTGTTAATTAAACTTGAAAAGAAATCTCGTTTGATCGATCGCAATAGGTTGCTCCGCAACCCAAAAAAAAAAAAACATGCCACATTTCTCTACGGCATGGTGGTATTCCAACCATACCCTCCAATTAAAGCGCGTGGTCCAAGAAAGATCAAGACTCAAAGTCTTTGATTCTTGGCCGCTCGCGAAACCCAATCTGAGTACACAAGGTTACCATGAAATTCAGCGACGAGAGGTAAACCTTGAACGACGAGAAGTGATTGGTCAAGCCCCCCCCTACAGCTGGGGTGCTACTGCGAGTGTTGCACTTGCAACCAACAACCACGGGAGGGTGGATCAAGACTCAAATTTCCTAGGACTTATTTGGGACTCATGACCGTAGCTTAGGAGAAAGACGAGCTAACTCACGATTAACAGCCCATGCTGTCTCATTTTTTGCCTTATTGGCGACGCATACCGCTGCACATAGGTATCTCTCCCTAGACACAAGCACCGAGGCATTTTCGAGCACTAACGCCACGCGCAATTGCATGCAACTATCTCTCACTTGCTCCGGGCATTACCGACTGAAACCGAAAGATCTGGGGAATTTCGAGCGCGTGCCGGACCATTCGCGCCGCAAGGAATATCCAGTGAGCCACTCCTCGCCTTTCCCCTTGCCACTCAGTGGGGATTCACCTCGAAGGTCCATCTCCCATCCCCTCGTCGCCAAGTCCCTTCCCCCTCGTCAACCTCCTCCGTCCTCCTCGTCGCACGTTCAGCCCTCCCCCAAGTCGCACTTCCCCACATCACCCATCTCCCATCCCGCGTCGCCCATCTCCCATCCCCGCGTCGCCCATCTCCCATCCCCGCGTCGCCCATCTCCCTTCCCTCGTCGCACGTGCAGCCCTCCCCGCCTTCACCCTTCCCCTCGGCGCCCATCTCCCTTCGCCAAGTCGCAACTGCAGCCCTTCCCTTCGACACCCGTCTCCCGTCCCCCTCGTCGCTATTCTCCCTCCCCCTCGTCGCTATTCTCCCTCCCCCTCGTCGCTTTTCTCCCTCCCCCTCGTCGCTATTCTCCCTCCCCCTCGTCGCTATTCTCCCTCCCCCTCGTCGCTATTCTCCCTCCCCCTTGTCGCTATTCTCCCCCCCCCTTGTCGCTATTCCCCCTCCCCCTCGTTGCTATTCTCCCTGCCCCTCGTCGCTATTCTCCCCCCCCCTCATCGCTTTTCTCCCTCCCCCTCGGCGCTATTCTCCTCCCCCCCCCCCCCCCCCGTCGCGCTTCTCTTTTCCCCTCGTCGCGAGGCGACTGGATAGGCGATGGCTAGGTGGGAGATACGCAGGGAGGAACAGCATGAATTGGGCGCGAAGAAAGGATATGCTCCCTCCCTCTTCTCACCTCCGTATCACGCTCTCCTCGTTTATGTATCCCCCTCTCTTCCTCCCCATTTCCCACGCTGCCCACACCCGTTTTCCCCTCCTCCTATCTGTCTTCCCCTCATTTCCCCTTCTCATCCCCTTCAGTTCCCCCCTCTCATTCCCCTCATTTCCCCCTCATTCCCCTCATTTCCCCCTCTCATTCCCCTCATCTCCCCCTCTCATTCCCCTCATCTCCCCCTCTTATTCCCCTCATTTCCACCTCTCATTCCCCTCATTTCCCCCTCTCATCCCCTTCAGTTCCCCCCTCTTATTCCCCTTATTTCCCCCTCTCATCCCCTTCAGTTCCCCCCTCTTATTCCCCTCATTTCCCCCTCTCATTCCCCTCAGTTCCTTTTCTCCTTCCCTTTAACTCCCCCTCGTTTCCTACACCCCCCCCACCTTTCCCCCCCCGCTCCATCTCCCTTTCCCCTCGGATCCCCTCTGCATCCCCTGTTTCCACCGCCTCTCCTTCCCCTCCCCTCCTCCCTCTCCTTTACCTCAGATCCCCCTCTCTTCGGCCCCTGCTCATCCTCCTCTTGCCTCCCACTCTACCCTCCTCCTCTCCCTTTTGTGCTCCTCTGCTCCCTGTCACCCTATTTTGTCGCCTACAAGGCGGTAGTGAGGTTGTGATGGTGCGGCCTGACTCTTGCCTCTCAGCTCCCGCTTTCTTGCCTCTCAGCTCCTGCTCTCTTGCCTCTCAGCTCCCCCTCTCGTTGGCCTCAGCTCCCCCTCTCCTTGGCCTCCGCTCCCCCTCTCTTCTTTGGCGTCACCCGTGCTTTGCCCTCAGCTCACCCGTGCCTTGCCCTCAGCTCACCCGTGCCTTGCCCTCAGCTCACCCGTGCCTTGCCCTCAACTCACCTGTGCCTTGGCCTCAGCTCATCTTCCTGGTCCCTCTACTCACCCCTCATTCACTCACTACCCCCTTTCTATGCCGTCTGCCTCGCCCTCTACCTCCTCTCCCAACAGTGGGTCATGACACGCGCAGGGCACTGCACGCATCAACTTGCACTCTCCACGCCTCTTCCACGCTCTCCCTCACACCACCACACCCTTTAGGCTCGTGTTAATAAAAAACGTTATTATGAGATACTCTATTTGGAAAGAAGTGAACGATTGGACGTAACATTCAGAATGCATCTATCCTATGTACTATATTCATGTTGTTACGCATGGCCTTCGAGTGAGCTCATCGTTTGTTTTTGCAAAGTTCAGTTACACAATTACATAAGGTTCATGTATTAGATTTGGCATTGTAATACTGTAATCCCCTGTATATAACACCCTAAGGTGGATATAAAATTTCACTAAAAAATTAAGTGGGTGTTAATAGTGGCCCGGAAAAATATAACGCCCGTGTGTTATGTAAAATGCAAAATGAATTTGAGTGTTCCAGGCCCTAATTTCCTGAAGGGTGCCGAGCGGCTCCTAACTGTTGTGATATGATTCATACTTAGCATTTCTGTAAGTTGATTATCGGTAGATAGTGTCGAATCCTACTGTAGAAGAAGTCCGTAGGATGACGTCAGCAAATAGCGCTCGTCATGAGGACAGTCGTTTCAAAAACGCGAACAGTCGCGTCTCTTCAATATCATTTAGGGCGCATAGCGCGATATTGTCAAACATGTACATTAGACGAACAGGCACTTCTGTTAGGTATAAAAGTAGCCTGTCTTCATTGTCTAGTTTACTGTTAAAAACTTGATTCTAAACTTGTTCAACTCAATCTTCAGTAAATACTGGTCATTACTCTACAAGATTCAAAGACTTCCGCTGTCTTACTAGTCTACCATTCCAGTAAAGATCCTAGGCTAACACTTGAGGTTTTCCAAGTGTTCGTGTTTGCAGATTCTATACTTAGTCTCCTGCAACACATCAAATTATAACTCTAACGAGGCAAGAACTTTTTATTTTCCCGTTTCCCCCACAATATCGTAACCCCTGTGGCCCAACGGTTTCAGTTCCCCCTTCCCCAACAATTTAAATTCCCCCTTCACCCAAAATTTCGATCCCCTCTTGCCCTAACAATTTCGTATCCCCCTTCCCCCCACAATTTCGATCCCCCCTTCCCCCACAATTCGATTCCTCCTTCCCCGCAATTCGATTCCCCATTTCGATTTGGGCGGTCAAGATCCTCTCGACATTGCTAGGGATTTCCGTGCAGTGACTTGATGTTTCTACACGGTTTTCCGGTGTTAATGATTGTTGACACACGATTTCATCCTGCTCGCTTTTTGAAGCTGAGCGGACCTTGTAATACAAGTACAAGTACGGTTTTAAAACGAACAAAACGAGGAGGGTGTTATGTAAAATTCAATGTCAGAAAAGCAGGTGCTGTAAAAAATGCACCGTATCATAAGCTCCCCCCCGTATTAACCACCCATGGAGTGACTATTTCGGCGAGTGTTATATACCGGGGATTATGATACTGTTACCAGTGGGCTCGGTTGGGGAAGCCGCGTGTGTTTCCGCAAATTTTTTTTTTTCGTGTGTTGGGTACCTCGCGTGTGCTTTTGCCAGATCAATTTTGGCCCGACAATCCTAGTAACACATTGGGGTCGGTATATTCTCGTCGCTGTACGGGCCCTACCTCTGGTTCCCACTTAAATTATATAGGTTATATATAATTGTAGGCTTGGTATAGGTATTATTGAAACCTACTGTAGAGGGTACAACCCCCTCCTTGTATCCCTCTCTTTCTAATCAAATCTCTTCTCTCTCGTAACTTTCACTAGCCCTAAAACCTCTCGCCATTCATGGCGTCTTCTCCTACCTAGATTCTAGTTTTTGACATGGTACCAGAGCAGGTTGCCCCTCCCCAGCCTGCTCCCCACGCTTCCGCAATGTACTCGCCCTTCTCTCGTCACTTCCGTGCCGCCATGGCGGCTTCGTCGTGCTGCCGTCGCAGCCTTGACGCGCTGCCGTGGCGTCGACGCCACGCCGTGGTGACGTCGTGGTGCTGCCGTGGCAACGTCGACGTGCCGCCGCGGCATCGACGCCATGCTGTGGTGGCGTCATCAGGCGGCAGAGCGCCGCGCAACGTTTTAGGCGCCACCAGCTCGCCCGCACATCAGCCAGCGCCATGTCAGCCACGACGCCTTGCTGACGCCACACCACCTCCCCTGCACCACCCTTAGTTCCAGCCGCAGATGCTGGGTCTCTTCCCAGTCGTTGCCGGGCCGTGCCATGCCGCCGAGCAGTGCGAGTTTCGCCGTCGCCGCCGCCGTTGCTGCCGCCACAACCGCCGCCGCCATCGTCGACGCTGCTGCCGCCACCGCCGCCGCTGACGCCGTTGCCGCTGTCAACATATAGTTGTATATGTTATAGGCTAGATAGGTGCATGCTTATAGAGGGTACAACGACATAGCACAATACCTCCCTGTATGGCTCAATCTAGTTCATTGCGTTATTCTAACATGGTATCATGCTAGGTTAGGTCCCCCTCCCCGCCTACGCTTCCGCCCCTAGCTGTAGTCCTAGCCTTAGACCGCGCCCTAGCCCGCGCCCCGTCATGCCGCGCTGGCCACGTCACGCCGCGCTGGCCCCTTCCCGCCGCGCCGGCCCCGTCCCACCGCCCCGGTCACACCATCGCACGCTGCTACAGCCGCCTCGACGACCTCTTCCGTCTCCGCTTCGGCCCCACGACAGACACCCCCGACTGGTACAGCCTGCTGCGTCGTCGTGTGCCTGCCTTTGAGATGGACATGGATAAGATTAGGTATGCTTTGTATGCCATATATGCTGATGACTCTAGTGTGACTGGACCCTATTACCTAGTGTTGCCTAGCGTAGGTGTGTCCCCTATGTGTAGTCTAGGTTCCCCTGCTATGTCAGGCGCAGGACCTTCTGCCTTGTTTAGCCTAGGCTCCACGCTAGCCACTCCGCCGATGGACGCTACTCCTTTGCTTTCCTTCACGCTCGACTCTGGAGCGTCTGCCTGCTTCTTCCACGACCACACTTCGCTCACGCCTCTTGCCGCCCCTGCCGCTGTTGCACTTGCTGATCCCTCTTCAGGTCCGGTAGTTGCTCGTAGCTCCACCACCCTTCCCTGTCCAGTGGTCCCCTCAGGTTCTCTTACAGGCCTGCACATTCCCTCGTTCTCCAGGAACCTAGTTGGTGTCGGCTGTCTTCAGGATCTCGGCGTTACCACTACGTTCCCTGGTCCCAACCGGT